GAAGCAGGATAGAGTGACCAATAATTTGGGTAGCTTCCACTAAGTGAACTGGTCATCAGTTATATGAGTCAACCTGGTAAATGGAGTCCCCAGCATTTTTGTTGTGTGGAACAAGTCTATTATAAAGTCTTCACTTAGCCAGTAAGAGATTAAGAGGGAAGAGGAAACTGATGGAGAAGTGTGAGCCTTGAGGTGAAGCATAGAAAATTAGAGGAAGAGGAAAGACCTTGATAGGGAAATCCAGAAGGGGAATTGGAGAGGAGCCTAGCATTTACACTTCAATGGATTTGGGGAGATGTGGCACTCTGGGTTTTTCTCACTCTTGTTTTGACAATGGACTGTTGACTGTCTTCACCTTCAGGTCCCACTCTGTGAATGAACATGCCTCTTATCTCTGGCCTGGTTCTGGTTCTGTTGGAAATTTAGTGTTGATCTATGTCATATGGACTACCTCTGACCCTTGATGAATCTAGATGTGTCATTGACTAAACGCTCCAACAGCTAACCCTACTTCAACCTATCAGCTGGGCAACTAGTCTCAGACCCCTAGCATTACACTCTAAGGGGCATCATGTGGAAGACTTCCTAACACCTCATACCTCATGTCCTGCCCCCAAGCAGTACCAGGGCAAACAAGATACTTAAGAGTCGTGTAATTCCAGCACTGTGGGCCTTGGTTCAACAGAGTCTTTGCTGGGAACGCTACTACAGGTGTGCTGGAGTCACCAGTGTATTTCTGGGCTTTTCTTAGAATGTTCCCACTAAGAACACACCATGTCCTCTTATTCTCCTTTGCAATATTTTATTTGCAATATTATAAGTGGTCTTCTTGAGGATAGATGTCTTGTTTTTGTCTTCTTGTTTCCACAAAACACTCAAGTTATGGTGTTTCACCTCTGTTTCTTGCCTTTTACCATTTGGTGGTGCTCTTCAAAGTAGTCACATTTGGTATTACATAGAGTATATAGGTTTCTTCAGGATTTCTCAGATCTGGAGTGGTTTTTTGCTCTTACTCTCTTCTGTTTAGGATCTGATTTGAGTTAAAACATTCTAGCCCAGTACTCAGAATGATCTATGTCACATCCAAGAAGTTCTCCCAATCATTTGAAGAGGTAAAGAAATCACCCTTTTCTAGAGAGCCAATATTGAGTTCTTCAGATGCTATAAGCCCATCTCATTTGCTCCTTGTTTTAACCCCTGAGTTATTGGGGCATATTATTTAAATTAAGGACACGGAAACAGCCTAATGACAACCATGAAATTCAAAGCAAAAGTGCAATTTCCTATAATAAAATTTTAAACATTATTAAAAAGATAGCTTATGGAAAGGTTACCACTCAAGAGCCAGCTTGGATTAATCAAGAACAGGTTGTACAAAAAAAAAAAAAAAGAACAGATCATGCCAGATTCATCTCAGTTTTTTTTGGGGGGGGTGGCTGGGGGAAGTGGATATATGATGGATGGGGTATGGGCCCAAGCTGAGACCTTTGCCCCTTGCACCAAAAAGAATTTGGCTCCCATTTGTCTACAAGCCCCAGAAAACTGTTAAAGTCACTCTGGTCTCAAAAAGTTACCTGAGGCTATATTCCACTCACTGGCTTTTCTCCTTATCTCCTTTTGAAAGCCCTAGTCCCACCTTTGATCTTATCTAGACCCCATTCAAACCTCTTCCTTCCAGTTCCCTTCATTATCTATTCCCACTGTCTATTCAATCTTGCAGACATTCCAATAGGAATTCTCCCTAAACTCCTCCCCCAGTCACCCAGATCCTCTTCCCAGCCCCTCCTCTGGTCACCCAAAATTACTTGAGTGTATATAAAATCTACCCTGGCTCCCATTTAAAGGCTGAGATTTTTCTCATGCCCACTTGTCCTTATGGACATCACTAATGTTCAGATTCCTTAAGAGTCTGGCTTGTATGGTTTATCTCTAATAAACTTTTTCTCTGGCTGAAAGAAGATTTGAGTCAAATTCTTTCAGGCAGGGTCCATGTGTTGTGATTTTGGGGTTCCAGCACCCTTAAACCTCTGGACCTCATCAGATAGGTAGTATTATTAGACTTTGATGGGGGGGGACTGTAGAAATAGCCAAATGTTTGGCTGAAAAACCAGCATCTTCATATTACTGGTGTCCTTCCTGAGTGAGCCTCACACTCTTGCTACAGTTCAGTGATGAAGTCTTCATAGCAGGTGCAAAAGTCTGGCCTCAAATAAAGAAGTTATCGTCCATTAAATCAATCGTTTAATCTAGCAACTCAACTTCACCCATACCGTGGGGATGTTGATGGGTTATATTTTCATGTATACTCAGGCCTGAGCCAGGAGGATAGGCAGTATGTTCCCATGTACAAGTACAAGACCCCATGCAGGTCAAATGAACACTTGCTCCTGGATGTACGAGGGAAGAAAGGGTACTGCTCTCTTTCTTGGATATTAGTCCACAAAAGAAAGAAATAAGGGAGCAGGAATGCACTTCATTCATTTGGTCAGGTACTAATTTTGCTTAACAGCAAATTTCAAGGCAACCTGAGCAGTTAAGGCCAGTTCCTTGGTTCCATACCATTCCCCACAGATAGAAACATATTAGTAAAGCCCCCACCCAGATTCCTTGTCTCTCTCTTTGGAATATACAGATATGATATGTCTCCCTGAAATACCTCTGGCTGGGCAAAACTTGAGAGAAGCAAACAAAATAAATTAAGGAAAAATGAAATCCCAAGAGACATGAGATGAGAATTCCACTGTACACGTGGCCTTGTGAGACTATACAAAACCACAAAGTTTTCTATGCTAAAACCCACTTAGCTGGGGTTGGGAGTTGTCTCTGTCAACGACTCTTAGAATCTTCACCTAGCTGCTTCCAACAGTGAGTGACTGACTGACAGTCTCATCTCTACTGGTGCCTCTTCATTTGGCAGCCACTCTAGCCTTTTGTGATTTTTTATGGCCAGTTGGCCTTAGCACGCACAAGTTTATTTACTTTCTCTCTGACATCTACATGTTGGTTATAGAAATTCAAGCTGCTGACACAACTGCCTCTACCAGCTAAATGTGAGTCGCTGAATCTAACCCTATAGATTCTGGTTCTCCTGGAAGACCTGATTCATTCTCCTCCTGGATCACTCAGGGGCGTCCCTGTTGTCTCCCATATCATTGTGTTGGGTCCTACTTGTGTTAGATTTGGCTTGTATTCATCAAGGTCTTTTCTAGGATCTCTTCCCTGGGGAAGCAGGTGGGAAAGATGGGGGACATTTTATAACAAATATGATGGGGGGGGCAACTAGGTGGAGCAGTGGATAGAATGCTGGGCCTGGGTCAGGAAGACTCATCTTCCTGAGTTCAAATCTGGCCTCAGGCACTAGCTGTGTGATCCTGGGCAAGTACATAACCCTGTTTGCCTCAGTTCCCTCATCTGTAAAAATGAGCTGGTGGAGGAAATGGCAAACCACTCCAATATCTTTGCCAAGAAAACCACAAATGGGGTCACAAAGAGTGGGATAGGACTGAAACAACTGAACAATAACAATTATCGATCTGGAACCAGGGCATAGAATAGAATAGGATTAAAGGATCATAGATCTAGAGCTCAGTGGTAATCTAATCCAAACCCCTTATTTCACATATGAGGAAACTGAGGCAGTGGGAGGGTAAGTGATATGCCCAAGGTCATGCATATGCTGATCATCAGAGGACAGATTTGTGTCCATGCTCCTTCCAAGTACCATAGGGGGCTCAGAAAAGAAGCAAATGTATAGAGAGACTGGGCTTTGATAACTGAAAGATTGTTTTAAATAAATAAAAATTTGGAGAAAAACTAGATAGCAGCATTGCCAAAAATGAGCTTAGACCACCACTGACAGCAACTACAAAACATTCTAGTGGGTCAGTGATCTAAATAGAAACACAAACAAAATGGGGAGAAAAACGTAAAATTTGCCTCAGTTGTGGGGAAGATAAAAATTCTAACCAATGGAAGAAAATATTGTAAACCTCTGTGGTACTTTGTACCTTTCTCGGGGCACATATCACATTTTCTACTAAATTATAAATTCTTTGAAGGTATGAACAATGTCTTCCTCCTTTTTTGTGGCCCACAGCTTCATATTTTTTGCATGCAGTATATTTAATGCTCATTTGGATGGATTTGATTATATAAAAATGACGGGATTGGAGACAACAAAAGAGCAAATTTTTACAAACAAATTTTTAAAAAGAGATAGGAAATTATTTTTTGTGATAAAATATTTTAAATTAAAAATCTGACCTCTAGAAACAATAAGGAACTCATACAAATTTAAAGAGCAACATCCATTCTCCAGTGGCCAAATAAGAAAAAAGGCTATTCTTAAAGGAGAAAACATTGTGAATAAACATTTAAAAATTGTTTAAACTCTAATAATCAAATGTGCAAATTAAAACAGCTTCTAGACAGTGGGATTATGAAATAGTGTAATCTTTTTGAAGAGCAATCTGGAAATGTGCAACAAGAATTACAAGGAGCTAATGATCCCACCGTAAAGAGTACATCTTAAGGATGGTTTGGATTTTTTTATAAAGGAAATATATTATGTGTGTGTGTGTGTGTGTGTGTGTGTGTGTGTGTGTATATGTGTGTGTATGTATGTACATATATATACACACACAAAATGTAAATATTTTTAAAATGCTTTCCAAATTATGAGCGTCCTTGTTTTACTTTTTAAAAACCTCCAATTGATCATTAGATCGTAAGATTCAGAGACCTTCGAGATATATTCCAACTCTCCTTTTGCAGATGACGAAACTAAGCTAAAGATGTTTTTTGCCTAATATCATACAGTAAGCAGAAGCAGGATTCAAACCTAGGTTTTCTTACTTCAATCCCAGTGCTCTTTACATTATGAAGAGATACACTGAAGAAAAGGGAATTAGAACAGTATAGAACCATAATTTCATCTCTTTAAAACAAAAAAACTGGCCATGGCAATGAAACTATAAATAGGAAGATAGGTCAAGAAAGGGCAGAGAGCAAATAGTTATTTTATTAAAAGATTTGTATGATGAAAATATACTTTGGAGTTTAAGACTTTATTTGGCATTTTATTATGTTTATTTGCTTGGTATTATTTTATTGGTGTAATTAAGCCCATAATTTTACAAAACTAAAGTTAAAAAGACTGGTTTGGAGGTCAGGAGAAAATGGAGGCACAGACATCATGGAAAAGGTTGGGTGATCCAAGTGTGTGAAGTCATACGGATCACAAATTAAGTGGCAAAAAACCTTTTTTTTTCCCTCCATAGTGCCTAACAAAGTTGTGTAGCCAAAATATTTTTTAATAAATTCTTACTGATCTCATGACTACAAAAGTTGACGTATCTGATATAGTCCTGAAGTGTAAAAATTGAATTTTTTCAAATCAAATTGCTTTTCCTAGTAACTTATGGTTTCAGAGATGCTTCATCTTTGTTCCTTTTGCTCTTCAAATTACAGTGTTAAATTATTCTGCCACCAGCTTCCAGGCTCTCTGTAAATAGATATTTCAGGGATCTGTGGTTATCTATGTGGTTACTTCCTCCATCAGGACAGACTGCAACTTCCTCTATGCCTTAGTCTTCATGAGCTGCTGCAGTAAAAAAAAAAAAATAGTTTACCATCCTGCAGCCAAGTTGGTGGTAAAGCCTTCTGATCTCAGCTAGGTTGGTCTTCAGAGGAAAGGTATCACTGAGCCCATAATCAAAGTTTTAAAAAAATTTTCCCCCCCAATTAATTAAAATGGACTTCTCTCCCTCCTTCTTCTCCCCTATCTTCAACCCTTTGCAAAAGATAAACAAAACACATTACGATCATGTACAGGCAATTGAAACAAATTCCCTAATTGACAATGTCTGAAAGAAACATCTCAGCCTGCACTGAGCTGTCCTGACCTCTCTGACAGGAGGAGAGTAACATGTTTCATCATGTGTCTTCTGTACTCATGGTTGGTCATTTTGCTGGTCGGAGCTAAGTCTTTCAAAGTTTGTCTTTACAGCAGTGTTATTACACAGATTTTTCTAATTCTGCTTACTTCACTCAGTCATCAGTTCACACAAGTTTTTTCAGGTTTTTCTGAAACCATACCTTCTTCATTATTTTTTATAGCAAAATAGTATTTCTTTCCATTCATGCATCATAACTTACTCAGCTATACCACAATTGATAGGTGACCCATTTCCAATTATTTGTAAACACAAAAGAGCTATCATATTTCTGTACATATGGGTCCTCTTTTTTTTTTAATCTCTTTGGGGCATAGACCCAATATTGGTATTGCTGGGTGGAAGGGTATACATAGTTTAATAACTTCTGGGGCCTACCTCTAAATTGCTTTACAAAATGGCTCAACCAGTTCAGTTCTATCAACAGTGCATAAATGTACCTGTTTTTCCACTGTCCTCCAGGACTTGTCACTTTCCTTTTTTGTCAACTTTGTCAATCTAATGGTTGTGAAGTAAAAACTCAGAGCTGTTTTAATTTGCATTTCTCTGTTAGTGAATTAGGGCATTTTTAAAATTCCTATTGATAGCTTGTATTTCTTCCCCTAAAAAATGACTAATCATTATCTTTTCACCATTTTTGTCAATTGGGGAATGGCTTTAAAGCGCTTTTCCAATGTGTGATAAGACTTGCAGGGCTCTTAATTCACTATCACAGCCTTTGAAGAGTCAAGGTCACCTCTAAAACAGATGAGGGACTAGAGTAGGACTTTAATAAAAGGTCAAGTAGATCAAGCCCTAAATAAACATGAATTATCATTGATGTTAAGTGCTTAGCTCAAAATAATCCTATGAAGTAGGCAGGGGAAGTTTTACTGTTCTGCAGATGAAGAAACTGAAGCACAGAAAAATTAAATGATTCTCCCAAAGGAAGAAGCAGTTCTACTAAACCTTTTTTCAGTTCTGTGTACTTCCTCATATACCATACTAACAAGCATTTAATTTTTTGAAAATATATTTCATTTATTTTGTTAAATATTTCCCCAATTACAAGTAAAAAAAAAAGTTTAAACATTTAAAAAAATTTTTTGAGTTCCAAATTCTTTCCCTCCCACACCTTGAGAAGGCAAGTAATATATCGATTATACATGTGAAGTCCTGCAAAACATATTTCCATATTAGCTATGTTGCAAAAGAAACCACTGCCTCCCCAAAAAATTAAGAAAAAATGTAAAAGTACCTTTCAGTCTGTGTTCAGTTCATCAGTTATTTCGAAGGTAAATAGCATTTTTCATCGTGGGTCCTTAAGAACTGTCTTGATCAGAGTAACTCAGTCTTTCGTGGTGGATTATCCTTACAATATTGCTTAAACAATCACTTAAAATTGGTAAAGGAGAAATTCTTTGAAGGGACCTTTTTGTATAGCAAGTATTCCAAATAAATAATTCATTTATTTCCCAAGTTTTCAGTCTACACTAGATTTTTTTTTCCAATCTGAGCATCCAATTCCACAAGTGTTAATTTAAGAGACGATTTTGCCACCAGCCAGATTCTTTCTAAAAGGGTGACAAGTGGGAGAAAGGCTCACTATTCGGATACCTAAGGAAACGGACTTGTCCTTCCTACACTTCACTTTAAAAGAAAACCAGGGCGCAGGGCACGGGCTTTGCCCCGGCTCCACAGGCAGCTCTGGCGGGGACAGCTTTTCCCCCCGCTATTCTCCCCCAGATGCGGTCCCTGCACTAGCAACTAACAGAACACGCGTCCTTGCCCCGCCCCCAAGGGGCAGCTTTGCCATCGCAGATTTGGAGAGCAAAGCCACGCCCCCTCTCCCCACTGCTGCCCGCCTACCAGAGAAAATACGGTAAGCTGAGGGTGAGGGTGAAGCCCTAAAGGCTCCCAGTGCTAGGCAAGCGAGAGCATTGGCTGCAGTCTAGCCTCAGCCTCCTGACTACCCAGGGGAAAGCGGCCTTTTCCCCTCTGTGAACCTCAGTTTCCCTCGCATGTAAATTAAGAGGGGGCGTGGTTGGTCTGGAGAATTCAAAAGCCCCCTTTCCCACTAGACTTCTTGTGATTCTACGGTTCTCAAGCCCTCCCTCGATTCAGCCCAACGGACACGAAAAGAATAAAACAAGAGGTTAAAGGGTACGAAAGTTCTCGCCGTCGTCCCCTTTACTTTCAGGAAGCAGAGACACCTCCCAGCCTTGGGGACAGACATTAATTAACCAACCGCTACAGCGAGCGCAAGGCCCGGGTGACGGGTGCCTAGCTGGGTCAAATACAACACTGCTGAGGTCGGAAAAGGGTGAGACCACATTCACTTGCCCTCATCTAATATGGCGCTCCGGGAAGTGGCGGCTATGGCAAAGGGGGGCGGGGCAACGGAAGAGCGTCGTGTGCCTCGATGCGAAAAGGCGCGAACAGTAGGGAAGACCAGGGTGAAGGCCTCGCGGGTCAGCTGCCCTGATCAAAGATGGCGTCCACGGCGCTCTTTCTTTCCCCTCCTCCCTCCACCCTGAGCGCTCCTCCCCGGCTCCTCCCCGGCCCCTCCTCGTCACTCCGGCCCCTCCTCCCACTCCCCGAGGTCCTCTAGTTAGCGATCGCTGGGCCGGGCGCACTGTGTGGCGCGTTATCTCCGCCCAGGGAGGCAGGCATCGGCTCTTTGGACATGGCGGCGGCGGCGGCGGCGGCGGCGGTGGCGTCCGGGTCTTCAGCGACTGGGATGAAGGGAAATGGAAGCGGCGGCCGGGCTGGGCCCAGTGAAGCCGGCGGGCCTCGGAAGAAGAAGGGGCCGGGGCCCCTGGCCACCGCGTACCTGGTCATCTACAATGTAGTGCTGACTGCGGGGTGAGGAGGGAAGGGGGCACAGGTGACCCGAGCGGAGTTGGGGTGGGAGGAAGGGTTGAACCGGGCGGGGGTGGAGGGGTCAGTGTCCTATGTGGGTAGGGGGCCAGCGAGCCCGGAGGGCGTCCAGCGAGCATGCGCCCTGACGGCGGGCGTCCCTTCATTCATTCATTCTCTAACCTGTTCGAGAAGCCCTACTACGCGCCACTGCGCGGAGCTGTGGCCCTGCGCGGGGACGTGAAGAGGTGAATGAACCGAGAGCAGCCCCTGCCCTCCCGGGGCTCCTGCAACGATGAGATCCGCGCATACATAGCTAGGCGTGAGGCTGCGGGTGCAGCCTGGACTTGGGGGTCACCGGATCCCTTAGGGCTGGGGGCTGGGCTTGGAAGGGACAGATATGGGATTTGGGCAGATAGCTCGGGGTGGATTTTATTCTAGGGGGAGGGAGCACCGAGAGCAAAGGGCTCACAGTGAGTGAAAGATCTGGCAATGTACTAAGCCAGAGTTTACTTAATAGGGAATTACAATAATTATTAATAATTACAACTAATTATAACAATAATTAGGAAACTGGGGAAGATGAGTCAGGTCTGTTGAAAACCAATGGTGGAAAGCCTGAAATGAGTGACATTATGAGGAGTTTGGACTTCATTTAGGAAACTCAGAGGAAACCATTGATTGAAGTTTTTGAGTAGGAGAATGAAGTGTTTAATTTGACCTGGGTGTGTAGAATGGAGCCCAGAGGAGGAAAGCTGGAGGTGAACCGACGTGTTGAACAGCTGTTGAGCAAAAACAAAGTATTTGAGGGTCTAGGTGGGGAGTGGCAAGTGGTGAACTCGAGAGACCCATCAGAGAGGATATTTAGTTGCATTGGGAAAAGGAAGACATCTTTCTGTAGGTGACGGGTAGCTGAGTATATTAGGAGGCATGTGCAAAAAATCCCACTGGAGCTGGTGTTGAGGAGGAAGAAGGTTTAATACATGTGGAGCTTTTTTTTTTTCTTGTCTTCTCTGTATGGAAAGGGACTGAGGCTTATCAATGTAAAAAGGGTCAGAGAGGAGTTTAAGACATTCAGATTTTAGCTGAATGGTCAGAAGGGAATCTTCATGTCATAATCTGGAGTGTGAGTTTGGTGATGGGGGCGGGGAGTGTCTTCAACCGGGAAGAATTTGAGTAGATGGAGAGAAATTAGCCTGTGTTACCACGATGTCTATAATTTACATTCATACTTTTAGGAAGTCTTAAAACTTAAAACAAATTTTGGTGCTCAAAGGACCTAGTACAGTGCTTTACACATACTTTGCACTTAATGATTATTACCATTTCACTTGGTACCTGAAATTTTGAAAAAAAAGTCTTAAACATTTAAAGATACCTTAATTTTTTAGTATTCTTAAAATGTCATTGATTCAGTCTAATGAAGGAAAGATTGCTGAATTAGTAAAAAGTCTAAATATAGATTATACTTAAAGTAGTAAAGTTTTATTACTTTCAAGGTACAATAGTCAAAATAGACTAAAATGTTCTCAGAGGTTTCTAGAAAACTTTAATGAACAAGCAGCATATCAATTTATGAACTTGGAAGTACTTAAGGATCCTTTAAAATCATTGTTTTACTGTTAATTTCCTTTGTTCCTCAGTCCTTTGAAAGTCTACTTCAAGCCTGTTTGGACAGATTTGAATCATAGGAATGAAGAACTTTACCATAATTCACAGAGCATAGGAACTGTTTTCTGAATCCTGGCCATCAGATTTAAGAGCATCTGTATAGATGAACAAAGCAGGCCAGCCACACAGGAATGATGACAGTGACAGCTACTCTCTGGCCACTGCCCAGTGTCCTTTCTCAGGTTTTTCCAGAGCAATCTCAGCAGCTGGGGGAGATTTGGGCATAGGATGCACGCTTCTGCCCAGGGCTACATGCTACATAGGAGGGTTAGTTGAAGGTGAGCTGGGGTAAGGATTGACCTTTATTTGTCCCAGTGAGGTTTCCATCTTTGGTTGGTAGCAAGCTAGACCAAAGTGTTTACATTAAATCAGCTTTTCTTCCAGCATCAATACTCAGGATAAAAAATATTTTATCCAATTTTACTATTTTTCTTAGTGCCAAGTATTGATGTTAATATTATTTCTTATTACTTTTCATTGCAAATATATTATGGTTTTTGTGGTCTGGCCAAAGAATTTCCACAGCTTCCCTTTCGTTTGCAGCTCTCCATTTTATAATATTGTTTCTTTGGGAAAATGCATTGTGAATTAAAAGCAACTGATTTCTAAATGAACATTTGGAATTCTACAGATTCCTAATTTGGAAACTACCAGATTTCTCCAGTAGGTAGTAAAATCATGGACTCAAATCACTTATTAACATCACTGTTTGACAGATAAGAAAACTGAGGCCTAAAAAGGTAAAGTGTTTTGTCCAAGGACAGGTAGTTGGTGATAGCCTGTATTAGAACTTATCTACTTAAGTGATCTTTTGCTAACCACATCCTCTTATTGTGTATGCATATGTGTTCATACATATGTGTGTATATATGGGGAGGGGTGCGCATTAGTTACATCCTGGGCTAAAAAGCTTTTTATTAATCTGCTGTCTGGCTGGGGAGTGGTCATGTGCTACATATAACATGAGCATTTCTAAATCAAAAATAAATTTATTTTTGTCAAATTTTTTTTTAAAGTACATCATAGACAAATCCATTTTCCAAAAATGGAAACTTTTCAATATCGGTATCTTAAATATAGGAACCTGGACCTGGCACTCTAATTTATGTCTCATTACTCCTCTCAAGCCTGACTACATTCCACATTTTCCTTCCTATCTGTACATACTCTTTAATCCACCTGGAATATCCTCCTCAATTTCTGGCTATTAAAATCGTATCTGTCCTCTAAGGCTCATCTCAGATACTACCTCCTTTATGTAGCTTCTTTTGATCTCTCCCTAAGATTGATGTGATTTCTCCCTCCTCAGATCCTCTATAGCGTTCTGTACCTTTCTTACAGCACATAGTAAATTTTCTGCTGGTTGATTCATTCTGTGAATTCATGGACAGTGTTTTTCCTTTCTCATGCTCCACAGCTCTTAGCATAGCATATAGTAGCTGCTCAATAAATATGTATTTTAAAAGAAATTAATGAGTGCTTTTTGTTTTTACATCAGTCATTTCTAGATATACCCAGTAAATCTCCTGCAAATAATTTTCTCCCATGTTACAAGAGAAAAGTCAAGCCACATGTTAGAATCATAGGCTGAAGGATCGTAGATTTAAAGTTGGAAGAGATCTTAAAGGCCCCTTATTTTATAGATAAAGGAACTGAAGCCAAAAGAGATTGAGTGATTTACCCAGTGTCACCCTGGGAGAGGTTAAGTGACTAGCACAGGTTTAAGAAGTACTTAAAGTAATCTTCAGTTCTGGTCATCCTGACTGGAAGCCATTGTGAAAGAAGAGGCTTTTTGATCTATTCTCTTGGGCCTGGTTTGGCTATTACAATTACTCAGCAGTCTGTGTGTTCTTTTTGTTTACAGGCTTGTAGTTCCTGGTTTTATTGTTCTTCTGGTCCTGCTTAACTTCAGTCTGGATAAGTTCATAAAGACTATTTCTCTGAATTCCTCATATCAGTCGTTTCTCAGGGCACAATTTTTCATTTAATTCTCCTACCACAGTTTATTTGGCCATTCCCCATTTTAGGCTTTGAGTGAGGACTTGACCGGCTGTCCTAGGAACATAGGTTATTCATATGGCATACCTGACAGCGGCTCAGCAGGGTCAAAACTACTACTGTGCGGTAACCACCGAGCAGCAGAGTTCCACAAGCTCTGGTTTGCAACAAGACTACAGAGCTTAGGAACCTTTTCCTCCTTCCCACAACTGCAGCCCCAGTAACCCCGGCAGAGACTTCCCCATCTTCGAACATTCATGCCACTGTGTCTGTAAGCCATCACTGAGGTCTTTTTTGTGTGTGGCTTTTTTAATCTCATTGCTTCTCAATAAAGCTACAGCTGTCTCTCCAGGATACCTCTTAGTGAGAGCGCCCTAAGGAGCTTGTATTGAGAATCATCTTGCCAAGGAGCTCTAGCCCAGTGGGAACCAGCCTTTCTTTTCCTCTCTCTTCTAAATATGCAGGTTTCCTTCTGAGCCTACATCACAGGCATTGGTGGGGAACAGTTATCTCATTCTTTGTGTCTATAACAGTATCAGTCTGCAGCCCACTGATCTATATGGGGTCAAGAAGGAAGGCAGGAGAGTCCGGAGCAGGTTACTAGAGGCAGAGAACACTGATGGAGGATTCATCCTATGAGAATGGAGTTTTGAGCCTTGGGCCTTGACAGGAAAGGACATTGCTGGAGAAGGCACCTCACAGAGTAACCAGTGTGAATACAGCTTCCTCACAGAACTTTGAGGGGGCATCTGAGTGGTATATCGTTTAGGATTTGGGGTCATGTTTTACCAAGAAAATAGAATGTTTTCCAAGAGCTCCTGCTGCTTTCCATCTCAAAAGCCCTTGTCACCGTTCTCCACTCCCTTCTCCTTGACTCCAGTCTTTGTTGAAGAGGTGGCCCTTCTGCTATTTGTTCTCTCAATCCTATTACCTCTAAGCTCCTTGGGCAGATTGCTCCACCATCTCTTCCCTCCTCTTCCCCTGTCTTTAGTCTCTCTTCTTCTGATAGTTCCTTCCCTGCTACCTCTTAACTGCCAGATATCTTCCATCTAAAAACAAATAAAAATATTTTTCCTACAACCATCTCAAGTCATTGTCCTTTATCTCTCTTCCCTTTTACAGCCAAACCCCTAGAAAAAAACTATCTGTTTGGTTGCTCCTATATCCCTTCGACTTTGTTGTTGTTTTCAGTCATGTCCTACTCTTTGTGACCTCATTTGAGGTTTCCTTGGTAGAGATATTGGAGTAGTTTGCCATTTCCTTCTCCAGCTCATTTTACAGATGAGGAAACCGAGGCAAACAGCACTGAATGACTTGCCCAGGGTTCCACAGTTAGG